TGCAAAGCCAGTTGTTTTGAGATGTTAATTGGCCGAAGGTATGAAAACCTCTGGTGCCCCATAGTAGTAGTCCTATGTGAGTTTTCTCTTATCTTGAATACCCTCAGCAATTTCCATCCGCACAGAGGCAGAACACGTATTCTTTATACCTGGCTTTCACTAGCCTTGCAGTGACAGCCCAAAGAAATGTGTTTCTGCATGTGGTTAAAGGTCACCATTGGGTTGCTCAGATCTGGCAGCTCCCTACAGACCTCATGTCCCCTTTTGCCTCTGTGTTGGAGCAAACCCAGAATTACTTTCACAAGTAGGAAGACTTCACCCCGCCCATGACCCAGGCTCTCTTCCATGTGAAGAGAGCACACCACCACTTGGCACCTGGGACACTCCTTTTTATGAGAGTCTATGGGAAAATACTTGTACTTAATGAGAAATGAGTTTGTTTTTTTCTTAATGTAAATTGAAGTCTGTTGACTAGCAATGCCTGTCTCTTTGCATTGGTTCCGATGGAAACTTGGAGCCAGTTTTATGGCCCACCTCTCAATGAGTGTTTAGGAAGTTTTGAGCACATATTTTCAGTAGCCATTCACCCTCATCTTGTATCCTCTTAACTTTGATTTCTCCCCCATTTTCTTAAGGTGGCTTTTATTGTTGCCTTAGCTTTTTTTCTGGATTGATGTGAAATTTAAATAACTAAAGTTAAAACACAAATATGACTGGAAGGATGGGAGACAGTGAATAACAATATTGATAAGTGATAAGTTATATGATGAGTTCTGAGTTCGGTTTTATAACATTAAAAGTCATCATTTTAAGATTATATTCCCTGTATGTAAAACTGTAGCATGTCTTATTAAAAGATTATTGAATGAAGGGATCATAGTATTTTGACAATAAGAATATTTTGTAGAACTGGGCTAATTTGTACATTTTGTTGGGGGGGTGCTTATTTTTATTTTTAGATAACACAGATACTGATGGAAAGGGAAGTGTTGGGATTATTATATTGGTAATACTTCATACAGTTTATCAACTACTTTAGCACTCAGGGCCTGCTGAGAGTTAGCAGGCCTGCATTTGTTTCATTTCCACCTGACACAGGGATTATATTAGAAACATGCCACGCTTCTCTCTCCACACTTTTCATATACTATTGGTTCCCTTTTCTGGAAAGCTCTCCCTTGCCTCCTATCTAATTCCTACTTATTCTTCAAGGCTTCACTTAGACCCATATTCTTCACATGACCTGCCCAGAATACTCACCCACCTTGCTCTCCTTTTTTGAGTTCCTGCAGTATCTATAAGTGTTCCATATTGCTGAGTATAGTTTCATGGACTATTCTAGAAGTCCCTGGCTGCTAATGAGTTTTATGAATGCAAGCAGTTCTTAGTTATGCACTGAGCATGATGCTGTGCAGAGTGACTTCTCTAACCACTGGCTGATGCTTCGCTTTGTTCTTGGTACTTACCTGGATCTTTTCTTTCCCCATTTTCAGGTCCTGTTTGTGCCAGATGCCAACTTTCCTTCCAGTACCTTAAGGCTATCATCATCCAGTCCTGGTGCTACTGTCTCTCCTTCATCATCAGATGCAGAATATGATAAACTGCCTGTATGTACATCATGTACTTCATGCACTGAAGCTCATTTTTATCAACATTTTCTTTGTCATAAGATTATGTCTGAAATTCCCCAAGATGGTGGGATAAGGTAATGTGTCAGTAACTGGGAGAATGCATCATGTCCAAGAGAAACCTGCTCACATTTAAGGTCTCAAAGGCAAAAAATGTCTGCCTTGTGTAAAAGTATGAAGTTGAGAGGACGAGCAGTTAGCATAATGCTGTGTTGCTGGACTCCCATGTAGTCGACCGCGGTTTGAGTCCTGGACCTGATGGCTTAAACTCAAGCTGTGCATGTGTGCATGCGTGCACAATATCCCGAGAGGAGAATGGTGGAGAAGGGATTGCGGTGTGGCCCTCCCCCCTGGGGGGTGCTTTCTCACTTTCTACCTCTCTGTCTCTCTGGCACATGCACACTCCCTATAGCAAAAAAAAGAAAGAAAGAAAGAAAGAAAGAAAGAAAGAAACAAACAAACAAACAAAGAAACAAACAAAGAAACAAACAAAGAAACAAAGAAAAGAAAAAGAAAAGTATGAAGTTGAGGAGCTAACAGGTGGTATAGTGGTTAAGGCACCAAACTCCCACATGACTGACTGTAGTTCAAATCCTTGATCTGGCAGCTTGAAAATCATGCCAGGGGCCTGTGCATGAGTGTCCAAAATCCTGAGAAGAATGGAGGAGAAAGAATTGTAGCATGGCTAACCCCCTGGGGGGTCATTTCCCATTTTCTCTCTCTGTCTCTAGCAAGTGCATGCACCCTATGGCAAAAAACTAAAAACAAAAAAAAAAAAAAGTATGAAATTGAACTCCCAATGAGATGAGTAAGTTTATTTATAATCCTCCTTTTTCTAGAGAATTTGAATCAGTGGCCTAGTAGGAATCCTTTCATTTAGAATATTTTCTAAAGATATTTTATAAGCCAGTTTTATGGATTTACAAATAGGCCTTTTATTAAAAAAAATCTTAGTTTGATTTGGATACTTATTGTTCTATTTGTTATATTTTCGGATAAAGGATATTTGCTTTTTTAAATGTTCATATTAATGGGAAACTTTATACTGACAGGGAACTTACATGCTTGAGTTATATACACATTTGTTTTGAAAAAGCACTTTTATTTGATTTTGGAAATTTTTGCTTTCATAAGGATGCTGACTTAGCACGAAAGGCCTTAAAACCCATTGAAAGAGTCTTATCATCTACTTCCGAAGAAGATGAGCCGGGGGTGGTGAAATTTTTAAAAATGAATTGTCGCTACTTCACTGATGGAAAGGTATATGGCAATGTGATTTGTTTCCTTTTCTTGAAATTTGTGGAAATCTAAATGATGTTACAAATGACTAGAATGAGAGCTACGTTAAAATATCTCACCCAAAGTTTTAGTTTCAGGTTTGACAAGCATCCATTAGTTTTTCCCTGTTGGGTACTTGGTATTTTACTTATTGAGAGAAATATGATCCCTGAGTGGAAGCGTGATCCTTTGCATACTTGCATTTATGATTTTAATTTTCAATTCTTGACCCATGGACTGTTAGGGAGCTGTATAGTATGTTTAACAACAAATGCTGGAATCAGACTCACTGAGTTTAAATTCTAACTCTCTACTCCATACCGCTGAGTCTAAGGTATTTCAATTTCCTAGGCTTCCTTTTCCCTTATCTACAGAATAGGAAACAGTAACAAAATTTGACTAATAAGTTATGGTAATTAGAAGAGATCATTTATGTAAAGTCCTTAGCCCCTAATCTGGAAAATGGTCAGTCTTGATAAGTGTTTGCTGTTGGCAATGCTAGTATGAAAGATGATGCCTACTGGAAAACAGACTGAAGAAATGAGATGTTGGGTGCTGGAGTATGGGGCAGAGAAAACACTTACCTCATTATAGCAATTAGCAATTTCAACTTTTTAGTCCTTTCGTTGTTGGTGCTTTTAGTTTTTAGGTCTTTTTTTCATTGTTTTTGTTTTATCAACAAATCCAATTTATACTGAGCCTCAGCAGAAGGGACTGTGTTAATATTCAAGTGAATTGTTGTGGTTAGAGCAAAGACTTCATATTAGGTTTCAAATATGCTACTCAAGTACATGTATAACTTTTATAAACAAGAATAAGTAATCCCTGAAATAAAACTATTTCACGAAGATGATCACTAGACTCATTAAGAATACCAAAATAGGGCCAGCAAGTGGTGTGGGAGTTAAGGTGGCTGGTCCCACAGGGCCAACTGTGTGGTTCAAGTCTTGGACCCGACAGCTTGAAAATCTTTCCAAGCACATGTGTGTGCAGGCCAAAAACCCAAGAGGAGACTGGAGGAGAAGGGATTATAGTGTGGCCATCCACCCTGGGGGGATGATTCCTCACTATTCTTCCCTCTGTCTTTGTCTTTCTCTGGCAAGCTCATATACCCTGTAGCAAAAACTGGAAAAAAAAAAAAAAAACATGGTAAATTATTTACCCAAACGGAGTCATGGAGTCACATATTCTGCTGTGCATGGACAATATCCTTGTGGCCTTTAAGGTTCATAACGTAATCTGAGCAAGATTCAGACTTTTAAGATCCCACTAAGCTACTGCTGGTTACTCTTGATTTCCATAATCAACTCTATTTATTCTGGCTGTAAAAATTTTATATTCCAGTTATGTTTACTTTTGCTGGATTCAGGCTTTCTAGACATCTAAGAGAAAAACACTGGACTATCCTTGGGCGCTGGGACTCTGAGGCAGTTGCTCCCTTCACATAGTACCACCGCCTTGGTAGGCACATGGTGAAGATTGTTGAGTGAATTGTCAAGCATCATGTTCCCAACTAGGACAACACTTGGGACAGCCCCTCTTATTTTACAAAGATTTAGGGAATCTGAGTCATGTGCGTGTAAACAGGATCACACTGCAATGTGCTATTGCCACAGCTGTGCCAAAACCGAGCTCTGTTGAATGCCTAAACAAGGCTAGTCTGTTTTCTCTGCCTCTCCACCCAGCTCCTAGCATTGTGTTTCTGCAAACTGTTTTTGCAGCACTCATAGAAGGAATGTGATTGTCATGTCGGACACTATAACTATGGTTCAGAAAGTCAGGAGAAAGGCAATGTGAGTAACTTAAAGTTCTGTGGTGGTTTCTGAAAGCATTTCTGCCTAACGTGATTCCGTGCTGTCTCTCTCTCCTACAGGGTGTGGTCGGAGGCGTCATGATTGTTACACCTAACAACATCATGTTTGACCCTCATAAGTCTGATCCCTTGGTTATCGAAAATGGATGCGAGGAGTATGGCCTCATCTGCCCCATGGAAGAGGTTGTTTCCATTGCCCTCTACAATGACATTTCACACATGAAGATCAAAGATGCCTTGCCATCGTAAGGGACATTTCTCTTGTTTACCAGGAAAAAAGCTGAGGGTTTGGGGGGAAAGGGATGGTGGGTGTTGAGAAAATTAAATGCAGGTAAAAAGTGAAGGTGCTTGTAGGAGTGAGGGATTATGTAGAGGTGAATTTGACATTGGTGCACTAAATTTAAAAAATAGAAAAATGAGAAGTGAAAATGATAAAGTCAATGATAGGGGAAATTGAATATGTAAAGAAAGATTAAAGGAGAAAAACAAAAAGCCAGCATATAAAACTGATATTTGGCTAATTTTTCTGAAAAGCAACATGTGTTCTATGTGTTCTTTTTCTTTTTTTTTAGAGAGGTTTTTGCTATAGGGTGCGTGTACTCGCCAGAAAGACAGAGAAAGAGAGAGACAGAGAGACAGAGAGCGAGAAATCACCCCCCAGGGGGGATGGCCATGCCTCAAACCCTTCTCCTCCATTCTTCTCTTGGGATCTTGGGCACACATGCGCGCGCTCGGCGTGAGTTTAAGCCACCGGGTCCGGGACTCGAACCTCGGTCGACTACATGGGAGTCCAGCGACATAGCCATTATGCTAACTGCTGGTCCCAGCAACATGTGTTCTTAATGAATTTATGAAAGAAGAAAGGAAGTTTCTCTGAGAGATTTTTAACCAATAAGAAGATCATGTTTAGGGGCTAGCAGTTGGTATAGAGGTTAAGGCACTGAATGCTACATAACCAGCTTCGTGTTTCAAGTCCTGGACCTGGTGGCTTGAGAATTGTGCTGAGCACGTGTGTGTGTGTGTGTGTGTGTGTGTGTGTGTGTGCCCAAAATCGAGAGAGGAGAGTGGCCGAGAAGAGACTTCAGCATGGCCATCCCTTCTGGGGGTTGATTTCTCACTTTCACCTTACCTCTCTCTCTCTTGCTCTATCTCTCTGTGGTGCAGGCATACACCCTATAGCAAAAACTAAAAAAATTAAAAAAGAAAAAAGAAAGAAAGAAAGAAAAAGAAAATACAAAAAAGAAGACAATGTTTTTATTTTGAATTTAAGTGTTAAGGAGCATTATATTCATCTTCATTTAAACTGTAGGATAGTCTGTCTTCCTCACCCTTGTCTTCCCTAAAACTACCCAAAGAGAGGTTTGAACCCTGTAGTAGCCACCTACCACACCTAGGTAGACCACCTAAAATGTCTGATGAGGAATACTGGTTTGTTTTTTCTCTAAAAGGTGCATGAATATTCCTTTATTCCTGACTACTTTTACTTTATAATACAGAGCTATTGTAAAAATCTGAAGGAAACTCCCCATGGGAAGAGAGCTATGATAACTCAGGAGATTGATTCATTTATATGGATAATTTGTTTTTTTTTGCCCTGGTGTCTGTTTCTCTACAAATGCCAGCAATAAACATCTTTAGAAACCCTCGGTGACAGGAAGATAGAGGTAAATCAGTGGGTCCCGACAGTACAAAGGGAAAATAGACCTTGGGGCTCAGATGAAAAAAAGAGAATGAGACAAGGAAACTCACCCAGGCACAGAGTTGCTAGGGGTTTCTCCCAGCCAGTCCCCTGGACGCCCACAGTTTTTTTGCACCTGACCCACTTAGCCTTTCCCAACCCCAAGCCACTGAACCGTCCACTAGAACACGAACACTGTGGTAGTTTCTGGGTTCTGCCAGAAGTGTGCAGATGAGAGTGTTAGGGGGTGTGCAGCAGATGAGGTTCTACATGATGATTAGGTCTGGGGCCGCCCTGGTTTTCCTGGCCCTGCTGTGTACAGCACCATGAGCTTCATGAGTTGCAGTCTTGTGCATCATTTTCCACATCTGTAAAATGGAGTTTGCATTCCGCAAACTGGGTTGTTGTAAGAACTAAATACTTTGCTACCCTGTATCTTTTTGAAAATAGTCTGGTGCCTTATAAGTGTAGGTTGTTATTTTTTTGAACTTTTAGTTTATATCTGGATATCTGTGCATTGTTCAACAGGAATCGTGTTATGTGTGAGGATTGAGGCTTCTAATATACTTTAGTATGTGCCAGTTTTGCACAAAGAGTTGGGTCATGGCCCTGCATTTGAGAAGCCTGAAGTCTCCTGGATGCAACAGATACACAGACAGGATTGTGATCAAATGGCATTGTTAATGTAGCAGCACACACAGTCTGTGGTGAGAACCCATGTCAGAATGTGCACTGTCCTGGAAAGAGAGTAAGTGAAAAAGCTAGTTTTAGAGAAAAGAGGTGATTATTAGGTTCTTTGTGACAAGAGAAAAGAAGATAAGAATAGGTATAGATACCATTAAATTTAGAAGTGGATGGACTGACAAGTAGGGGCATCCATTGCCAGAAGAGGGCTTCTAACATAGTAGTGCTATTGTATGTCTTTAGCACAGGCCAGGATATGAAGTATTCTATTTAATAATAGAAAGGGAAGGTACATCTTTACAGAAAAAAATTTCTCTCAATGTGAGATTACATTAATGATTTCAGAATACAGGAGTAATGTGACTTGGGGAAAACAGGAGAGTTAAGAATTGGCTCCCTGGGCAGCTCGTAGCCTAGAGGGTAAGGGAGCCAGATCTCACATGGCTGATTGTGGTTTGAATCCCAGCCCTGGTGGCTTGAAAAAATTATGCTGGGCATGTGGCATGAATGCCCCAAATCATTAATAGGATGGAAAAATTTAAGAGAAGGGATTACAGCGTTACCATGACAATTGGGAGTCCTTGCTCCTTCTCTCTATGTATTTGTCTCTCTCTCTCTCTGACAGGTGCATCTGCCCTCTGGGAATTAAAAAAATTGATCTCTGAATTACTGAAATTATTTCAGAGTTGTGCATTAATTTCTGCTTTGATGTAGGATATAAGGGATTTTTAGTCTAATGAACGATACATTATGTGCCCAAATGAGCAAAACAGAATGTATGGCTAGAATCAACATCAAATGAACTTTTATTATCTTCAGAATCCTACCAATGTTTAAAAGCTTAAAAATGCTTAAATAGTATTACTAAAAGTTTAATGGTTAAACTGTCAGTATAGCTTATCTAGTTGCAATGTGCAAGTTTTTTTTTTTTATGGCTCAAGAGAGTACATATTTGTTTTTTGTGTAAAATACAAATCATGGGTTTGGGGACAAACATGAGAATATCTCTGTTCTTTCTATTCAACTCACTCTGTCTTAAATCATGACGACCTTATCTCATCAATGGCTACCAAGGTCACTCTTGGGGTAATCAGCACTTTAGTCCCAGAAGGTCCGAAAAGCCAGGGAAAATAAGTGTGTGTATGTAAAACTCTTTCTCACCTTCAGGTTTTGTGTGCTTTGTGTGTAGGACATTTTGTGACTGTAGCTCTCACAGAAAGGAAGGGAACAACCAAGGGGATTACTGATCGTTGTTAGGTTCCTGGCTAAGTGTACAAAACATTAATTAGCCCCCGAGCCTGTTAACATCATTATGTACTTTGCCCCAGCAGTGCTTGGCAGCTGCAAAGCACTAGAAGCAGATGATTAAATTAATCCCAGGTAGGAAATTGGCAACTTGGGTTAGGCAGAAGTAAAAGAAGTGAGGGGTGGACAAAGTAATTTCATAAGTTAATTAGAGTGCAGTTCAATGCATTCTTTGTGATAGTCAAGCTAGG